TAGGGTAGCTAAGCTGCTGATCTATTCAATGCGCATTATATGAACAGATCTGAAAACTGTCTATACTAGAAAACTTTGTTATAAATAAAACTGTGGTATCAGTATAAAAATATCCAGAGAAAGAATTCTTTGTTGCCTCTGTATCAGCCAATCATATCCTAATAACTTCTAGTGCAGGCATGAAAATAAGTAGCACACACAGTTTTTTTTTCAAACACTTTAATAAATGGGACTGTCTGCTATTGTTTACCAAATATTAAATCTTTTGTCATCTCAGACAAGGTAGTTTAAAATTGTTTAGTGTAGTCACATTCACATATTGTTTAAATATTCCTAGTTTAAAACTACATGCACACTGGAGTCATTTCTAATAAGCGGTTCTCCCATATGATAGCTAAATCCCCCCTCTCCCTCCCCAGCAGTTTGGGTAATTAAACATGCAGAGCCCCATTAGACGCATACATTGATTCTTGCAGCTGGCAGACGCACTGTGTTTCTCTATGAGCCTGTTGTGTGCAGTACCGCACAAGCATAAGTTAGTTGCACCAACTTTAATAGGCTGGCTAATGTTACATCATGATTTAAAGTACAGAGCAGTCCAGTGAAGTCTATGGAGGCACATTATATGTACGCCTGATGGACTTGCTGATAGTCTGTTAGCTTATAGAATAAAATATGATTAATGAGAAATCTTAATTTTTTTTGAAGTGTTGGAAAAAGCAAGAGTGGCCTTTGGGGAAATATACAGTGTATCAAAATTTCAGTTCTACTAATGATGTGGTCTTGTTGCTTTTGATGCTTTTTTTCAGGCTGTAAATGCTCCTCTTCTTTTTTGTGTAATTTGTTTATTGAAATAAACATTTAAAAACAAGAGAAGAGACTAAGAGACAGAGCAGTGAGTAGAGACAGATATGCTGTGTCCATATATTCTGAGGCCTTGTCCCCAGCTGCCCGCTGTCATGGGCAGCAGGTAAAGGCGTTCTATATACCATATAAGGGCCCCGTAGCTATTCAGGAGTTATGTTTCTGCACATGACCAGTAAGCCCCAGAATGGCAAGCAGGTTGTGTCATGACAGAACAATTATAATAAAACAAAAACATAAGTGAATGTGTGTGATGTCAATAAGGTAAGATTCAGGATACAGACATAAGAAAAAATGAAAAGAATGGAAGAAACCATATGAATAAACTTCAAAGCAACAATGATCACAAGGTACAAAACCATTCCAAACATGAGTAGAGCATCAAATTGAGCAAAAGGAAGGTCAATAGACTGTGAGGCTATTCATTGTCAAGTGGTAGATGATGGAAAACGTACTACGCACATATCAACAAATATCTGCGAAGGGGTGTTATCATCCAATCTCACCAATGAGATTCCCTAGCAGTCACATCAGTCAGGGGTCAATACCATCTGGAAATGCTCCTCATCTAATACACTTGTGAACGTATATGTGTGCATGGACACATAGTTGTTGATTTTCTAAAACTGGAGAGTACAAAATCTGGTGCAGCTCTGCGAAGAAACCAATCAGCTTCCAGGTTTTATTGTCAAAGCTTAATTGAAGCTGAAGTTAGAAGCTGATTGGCTACCATGCACAGCTGCACCAGATTTTGCACTCTCCAGTTTTAGTAAATCAACCCCATAGGCTAACATAGAAGTGGTGTTACAGGCTGAAAAAGAAACACCTTTTAAAAATGGTGTTTTTTTTAAGCCCAGTGTGCATGAGGGTTTAAAGCAATGGTAGTCAACTTTTGGGGTTTAAGGGTCTCAAATGCAGTCCCTGATATCTCCAAAGGGCCACATTTAAACTTCATTAATATTATTGGCACTGCAACTATGTTCCATATTTGTGAAAGTGGAAAACCCAAATACTCCTGCGCTTAGGGATGGACTCTATGTCATCGGGATCACACAACGAATGTCTTGGAATATGCACGCCTTGCTGCCCTCAAAGAACCGGGGAGTCCAAAAGTACTAATGGAGAAAAATAGAAAACAGAGGGCGCACCGGCCTTGTGCATTACCTAGATTTAAAAGAAGGTATTCTACTCACAAAATTACATTAATATACGCATATCATATGAGACCGCTGTGTCCAATTCGCACTGCGGATGAGGCTAGTCCTCGAAATGCGTCAGGAAAAATTTGGATGTCCATCATTCTCATCACCATTTAGAAACACAGTGCGAATTGGACAGAGCGGTCTCATATGATGTGCTTATATTCATGTACTTTTTGTGAGTAGAATACCTTCTTTTAAATGTAATAAACATATTTTTAAAGGTAATGCACAAGGCCGGTGCGCCCTCTGTTTTGTTTTTCTCTATGTTCCATTGTTGTCTGAGAGGGATTCGCATACATCCATCTCTCTTCCCAGCAGCCTCCATATAGTAGATTTCTGACTAACGTGGATAATTATTTTGTTTAATCTTTATAATATGTAATGCCACAGAGTGATTGGAGACTGAAGTCATGCTGTAGGAAACAGACTAGAAATATGTTGCTAGTGATTACTGTTTAAAAAGGCTCCTTTACAAATCAGTCTCCCATTACTAATTGCCAGGGCCCAAGGGCTGTACTTCAAACATTAAAAGGCCCCATGTGGCCCTCGGGCCACAGGTTTGGTACCAGGGTTTTAAAGTAATTGTATTATATGAGCAATATGGGGTCTGCCAATACTGACCTACTTCCAAAAATGACGGTTGCCTTGCTATTTTTCTGGTTTTAGAACTTTCGGAAAACATTGACCTGGAACACATATGTAGACCAGTGAAATCCTTATCTGCATTCTTGTTTCAGGGTATTATATCAAAGGATTTAAGGGAAAGGGTCAAGCCTGACAACCAGGCCACTAGCTTTTTCAGAAGTGCTCAGTTATTGCGATTTCCATTTTTTTTATAGATGTTCTGAAAGGAGAACCTCAGCATGAAAAGATCCCTGTATGGGGGTGGGGTAGGTGTAGTATTGTTTTTCCATTTCCAACACACAGCTTGTCTGAGACGCCCCAACAGGAAAGCACTTGGGGTGCTTTAAACCTGAACATATCCAGATGAGTGAAACAGAGAACCTCCTGCATGGGTAAAGCACAACTTGCTATAAGCTCACATGTCCATTGAACTGTAATGTTTCATTTTTGTCCCACCTCACCCCAATCTAGGGATCTTTTAATTTTCTACTTTTCTTTAAAATATTCAACTAAGAAATAATACATTGCTACAATAATACTCCAAAAGCATTCAACATTTTCATTTATTTAGTCTTTCCATGTCTAATTAGAAAAAAATGCTTATATAATTTTTATGGTGATGAATTATAATAATGAGTTTGTTTGAATGATGTATTTGTATACAGAACATGGATATAAAATAGTAATGAACTTAGACAAACAGATAATAGAATCCAGACATCCATCAGTGCCATGGGAGTAAGCTTTAATTAATGAGCACAGATCAGAAAGATAAGAACATCGAGCCTAATTAATATTATGTCTACTGATGATTCTGTCTTTATGGCGGTGTCCTAAAGTTAATAAAGAATCGCAGGTTTCATCTATGGGACACAAACACACTTAGCACTTTTGCACAAAATCTTTTCTTTTTGCTGTAAGGATGCCCTGCATTGCATTTCAGTGTTACTGAGTGCAACTTGGTCACATGTTAAATGGTGTGCTGTGAACTATTGTTAAAAAGGCACAGGTCACTTAAACAAATCATGGTAAAAACTCAGAAATGACCAACATACAACATATGAAATGTATATACAATATATATTGGTAACAATATGCATGTTTATTGTACAGCACAACTAGAAAATCTGCACATTTCATATTCCGGGTATGTGTATGTTGTACCATGTACTTGCATTAAAAATGATCCTGTTCTCTTTGCATTGATTCCTTTGTGTGAAATCCTTGGTGTTTCTGCCAGTCCCCTTGCTTTCCTATTCCAAACTGACCACACTAGGCATGAGAGCACATCCATCCCAGCGTAGACAGTTTTCTGACTGTGCTGGGAGCACAGCCTGTATGTCGTCCAATAATTGCACTTGTGTTACCATACCCCCCCTGTACAGCCATTCACTGAGAAGATCAGTGTACTGCTGTTTCTCTATATGCCTATACTCTATAGGCAGATTGCAGTCTTATTTAAAAAAAATCTAAGTGCAAAAAGACATGCATTGAAATACAGTGCACCACCCAAGCTTTTATATCTTTAATCCTTTGTTAGGGCAAAAAGTGTGCATATCTAGTTTACAACTGATAATAAGATCTCCCAGCCCAGTACAGCCAGGGTTACTTACGGTAAACATAACCCTAAAGCCCACTCCCTAATATTACATGTAATGTAAAAGCTGGGTAGGATTTTAAGTAAGTAAAAATGTAAACAGCAAGTTTTATTTTTTTTGTAACAAATATAAAGTAGCTGTTATCTCAATTTGGATGCAAAAGTAGAAACACACTAAAAAAAACATAAACATAAAAAAATATATTTTTGCTCAAATATTGTGTGTGTTGAGTGTGGTAAAAATGTTTAAGCTTAATAATTAGAACTTGAATGCATATAGTAAAATCCTCAATCTTATTGGAGCTAATTCTTGCTGTTTTGATAAGGGATGAAAGTGTGGGTTTTATATTATCCCAGTGCCACGCTTTACTCTGTGCTCTCGGAGATAGAAAACAGACTGTGTGCAGAAGTACTAAAAAGCCTGAGGGATTAATGTGCTAATGGTATTGTAGCTGCATTTCTCAGAGCTTCTCAGTGTTGCTTCCCGCCTCTGAATAATGGTGCTGAAAGAACAGCTCCTGTGGGTTTTTGCATTGAACATTGTGTGTCTAGCGGCACCCGCTTTATAATTGGCTGCATTAGTACAGTTAATCTGCAATTACATTTCATGAAGTCAGAAGCTAATTATTTGCATGGGTGTTTCACCTTCATTTTCAGCTTTTTACAGGTGAGGGAGGCAAAGTCCAGTGACATACCAGCTGTAGAAAAGCTCATAGGAACGCTGCCCCTCCGTGAAAGCCTATTGAAAGACCTGAAAATCTACAATGATGCCCGGAGAGATGCTGTGAGTGAAGTCATTCAGAAACTCTAGATTTACTTGGCTGTGGACCTGATCATCATGTATACCAGAATCGTCACATGATAAGCCATTATTATAAAGCAGAATCCCCCAACCTTTTTGATTGTATTCTGCAATAAAAGGGTCATTTATCGTCATCCTACTGTAAAAACTATTTTTTTTTTTTTGGTTGCTGCTGTAGAATTGGATTATCTACTGACGTTTAATATCTTTTGGTACTCCTAGGGATCTTAAATTGAACCTTTGCTTTGTCCATGCAAGTCAAAACAGCATGATCAAGCTGGCAGTCCCAACATCTGCACACACTTACTTCATTTAAAGTGGTTTTAAACCTCTGAAATGAAAAATAAACAAAGCATATAATTCTATAGTGTGTGCCTGCCTTAATCCAAAGCACCTAGTGTGAATCTTCTCTATCCCTTTCCTCTGCTATCTGCATGAGTCACTTCTGACAGTTAATGTGGACACCAAGCAATTCTGGGAGAGATCAACTCTCCCACTTGCACACAGCAGGTGTTTGACAGCCTTAGCTGTGATTTTTTTTCCCTATAAGACTATGTAGGTGGGGGTATGTCTTTTCCCTCCACTCAGGTCTCAGATTACATTCAGTTCCCTGCTCTGTGTTGTACAGTGTGTGTCAGAAGAGAGAAAGCAGAGAAAAAAATGCAGGTACAACTATGTAGGAGGATATGTTTCATCTATGTGCATCATCTAGTCACTTTAGTATTCGTAAAGTTTTACAACCACTTTAACTGCCCTGCATTTGCCAACTGAGAGCGACATGGAACTTACACAAAGCTGAGTGCATGAGTGTGCAGTTTCCAAGAATCAGGAGGAAGATGAGTAAGTCACATGCTCCCCATACCTGGAAGTACCATGTTATTTTTTGCTCTTGGCAGCTAAATGAAGAAATGAAGCAGTGAGTGTATGCTGCTGGTGAGGGCACAATTAAAATCAACGTGTTGCTTTACCTTACAAGTTCAGAGATCCATTCAACTGTTTTCTACTAGCAAACACAAATGCTCCTGTGCTTGGGGATGGCCTCGATGCAGGCTACAACCACATTAAGAATGTCCTGGAACATGCACACCTTGCTGCCCTCAAACAGACCGGGGGAATCCAAATATACTGAATGAGGAAAGAACAAACAGAGGGCGCACAGGCCTAGTGCATTACCATAAAAAATGTTTAATAAGAAATAAAGTAGGTGTTGTACTCACAAACGACAATAAAGTCAAGGCACGTCATAAAGAACAGCTGGGTCAACACCGCGCTGAGTAACAGTCCGCAATGGGGAGTGTAGACATCCAATAGGCTGACGCGTTTCGAGGACTTGCCTCTTCCTCAGAGCCTATTCCCTGAGGAAGAGCCCTGAGCCCTTCCTTAGGGCTCTGAGGAAGAGGCAAGTCCTCGAAACACATCAGCCTATTGGATGTCTACACTCCCTATTGCGGACTGTTACTCAGCGTGGTGTTGACCCAGCTGTTTTTTATGATGTGCTTTGACTACATTGTCGTTTGTGAGTACAACACCTACTTTATTTCTTATTAAACATTTTTTATGGTAATTCACTAGGCCTGTGCGCCCTCTGTTTGTTCTTTCCTCAACTGTTTTCTACTGTATGGAGGAGTTTTATGTTCCTTGACAGATTTATTTATTTCCTTGTATAATATAAGAAACACAGCACCAGGACAATTATTGAGTGACATTGCAAGTTCCTAAATAAGGCCCAAAGTTACCAATTACTATGCTATGTGGGAGTATGTTGGACAATACAGGTGGGAAAATAATGGATTGTAAAATTGTAATTGTGAATTAGAGTTTACAAACGACAACTTTTGTTTTTCTTTTATAATAGGATGGAAACACCTGTTCAGGCATTTGTTGCTGAAGTAGCTGGCCAGATTGTTGGTGTTTCAGTACTAAGAAATGAAGAGGTATGATAGGTTATTTCTAATTCTGCAGACATTTTCAGCTAATAACTTCCTGTAATTACCCTAAATGAAGCTTTTGGATAGAAACAGAAAAGATAGAATGTTTATCAGGTTATTAAGAAGGTATAGTTGTGCTTGATGATGTTAGCTTGACATCATCCGCCACACTCATGATGCTGGTTCTTTTTCTCATGAGTATGGCACAGCAGACACAGTAAGTTAGAGGCCTTGTGTGCAGGAGAGTGCATCAGAAGTGACACCATGGCATGGATTAGCATGGTCAAGTTGACATAATTGGCTATGCCCATGCATTGCTGTTTAAAACTTATCTTCAAAGTGCTTCTGACTTCCACACAAAGTAGGACACAGTTACAGAGGCTCTTTGTGACTGCAATTCAGCTGCAATACTGGAACTGTGGCTGACAGTGTCAATCTGACATGATCAGCCAAGCCCATGCCATTGCCGCCAGTTGTTTGTGCTTCTGAGTTTCAGGCAGCACATAACACTAGCATGGTCAGTCACAGGACCTATGTGACCAATTTGACTCTTGTCTGTGCATTAGTCAGTAGTAGGGGACACTAGAGAGGGCCTCGGGAAACATTACCATCTACATGATGCTAAATCTCGAATGGGTCTTATTTATTTCTTATTTATTTATTACAGGTACTTATATAGCACCGTCAATGTACACAGCGCTTTACATTTTATATATATATATATATATATATATTCACATCAGTCCCTAACCCTCAAGGGGCTTACAGTCTAAAGTCCCTAACTTACATTCATACATACACATACTAGGGCCAATTTAGACAGGAGCCAATTCACCTACCAGCATATCTTTGGAGTGTGGAAGGAAACCAGAGTACCCGGAGGAAGCCCATGCAGGCACAGGGAGAACATGCAAATTCCAGGCAGGTGGTTCTGTGGTTGGGATTCAAACCAATGACTCTAGTACTGCCAGGCAGGATTGCTAATTATTTAGCCACTGTGCTGTCCCACAGATGAATACCAGGCATAGATATTTTATACATAGTTACATTGGCCCAGCTTGTACCAATGTAACTATGCATATTCCATATTTGGCCGATGCCCCTGAAAGCTGGAAATCACAGAAATAAACAGTGCTAATCCAGTGATCTCCACTTGCTTCCAGGACCTGCAGCTGCCCTACTGCATTCTGAACACAGGAGGTTGGCTACTTGGCACAAGTGCCATTCAGAGAATGCTTTGCATTTTCTGAACAAATGCAAAACATTCTCTGATTGGACAAGTTGGAGAGTGTGATGTTACTGTCCCACCTTTCCACCTCATCCAATCAGAGAGTTCTTTGCATTCATTGAGAAAATGTGAAGCATTCTCTGAATGGTGCCCAGCGACCAACCTCCAGTGGTCACAATGCAGCAGGGCAGCTGTTCAGCACGGGACCCAGAAACAAGTGGCTATCACTGGAGTTTCAGTGTCTACTTCAGGGATTTCCAGCTTCCATGTACATCAGCCAAGCTGGACAAATGTAACCACAGTATGTATAAGGCTAGGTTCATATTACCTCTGCTGGATTACACCTGTTCCCGCACTGCAACCACCCATACTGAAAAATGCAGGAGCTGTGTGCGGGTGCCATTAATGCTGCAATATAACTGCAAATTGCTCCCACACTGGGAACCGCATTGGGAACCACTCTGCACTTGCAGTTCCCATGCAGACTGATTTCTAAAATGCTGCAAGCACCTTTTCCCTGTGTTTCAGAAGACTCTGCAGCCTATTCGAAGAAATGGGCTGTCATGCTTGCGCAAACTGCAGCTGGCAGAGCCTTATCAATGTGAACCTAGCCTAAAATATCCATACCTGGAATTCTTCTTTTAAATACAAATTACAGAATGCATTCAAACCATCTTCAATAGAAGAACAAAGGACAGTGTCTACCAAGCCTCATCCTTCACTGTATTGTCAGGCTTACCAAACAAAGCAAAGAGTAATGTTCAAAGAGCAGAATTAGTGCTTTCCCTAAAGTTGAACTATGGACAAAAAAATAACCTTGCAGAGGGGCTCTTCCCCACTGGCAATGTTTAGGGAAAACATAAAAAGCAACTATAGTTACCTTCTTCCTTGCTCATTCATGCTTCCTTCTAGCTGCACGACTGTTCCTTGAAACCCTTTCTCTTTCCTGCTCTGTTGGTCGCAGGCTATCTAATGTCATTATGTACAAAGCAGGACCAGCAGTCCTGCACTGTAAGGACTATAAGTAAGGCCTACCCCCAATCAGGAGCATCATAGTGAGCATAGGGAAGTGAAGGATAAGCTAAGTATAGCTGCTTTAACTGTTCCCCCTAGATGAAAGCATTTAACCCTTGCAGTTCTGGGAGAGCCCTGCTACAAGTGTAATTTTTTTTCCCCAGAGTTCAGCTTTAGGTAAACTGACCTCAGTCACTTAGAACTAATTAGTTGCTATGGGTTCCTCCACTTTGCACATTCCTACTGCTTCTTGCACTGCATTAGTATATGTTACGCTGGCCATAGATTGTTTGAATCTAGGCCAATTTAGCAGGGACTGACCGAGATTGGAAAAATGTACGGGCAGGTTGATAGGGAAATCCCTCCTAAAGAGCCATTGTGTTCTCACAGGGGTGGGGGGTGTGGAGGGAGCCATCCTCACAAGGAGAACACAGTGATTACTGTTAGCAGCTATAATAGCCGCTAACAATAATTGCATGCAACATCCGACAGGCTGGTTATACCCAAGTTGATCAATCGATCAACTTGGGTACAATCAGCCTGCTCCTATATGGCTCCAATCTCAGCCGCTCCCTGCTGAACCAGCCAAGATTGGAACCATGTATGGGCTGGCTGAATGTACCCAAGGTGATCGATAACCAGCCTGTCAGATTTTATATGCGATTATTGCTAGTGGCTATTATAACTGCTAACAGTAATCACTGTGTACTCCTGGTGAGGTCTGCTCAAACCACCCTCCTGCCCGGTAGACCTCAATGGCTTGGAAGGAGCGATTTTTCCATCAACACTGACTGTGTTGAAGGGGAAATCGAGTGATCTATCTGTGGCCGGCATTAGCCTGTGCATTTATATGTTTGTCCTTCAAAATGGCATTGCTTGTATCAGCCTCATTGTATTTTCATATAAAGATGATGTCAGAACTACTCACAAACATATACCCCATCTAGCAGGTTGGAGATTTATTTCAGATTGTAGCCATGCATACAAATTGTTTATAAACCATTAGCACACCTTTGCTAGTTAAAGGGATAACGACAGCGAAACCATAGATATTTTATGTGGCTATCACACCACTGTTGTATTTGTTCTGGATACTAAGCCTGGAGCAAGCCACATATTATGTTTATTATCCTATTATGTACTATTTATGTGGATGGAAAAAAAAACTACATATCTTGTTACATGATTACTAAACATATGTAGATGGGTACAAATGTGCATAGATTGAGTCTTAAATCACATGCATTTATAGAACTGTGGTGTCTAATAAGCCAATCTGCAACACATTGAAGAATATTCTAACCGTACAACTAGGCTGTCTGGTAAATTCACAAGAGATAACTCGTACACGCTGTACCTGTCAAATCACTGTGCGTGAGCTTATGTACACAGGCATTCAAAAGGCATTTAAAAAGCTTTTGCCCATGTTTTGGCCATGTGATTACATGTGTTTACTATGAATTTTCATTGCCTTATATGAATAATTTAAATGAATAAACTTAAAGAGACCATTTTGCTTGTAAAAGTAAACAATTCATTTAACATTTTGTCATGTGTGATTACAAATGAAGAAAAATCTTTCAATGAAGACATGTGTTCCCGTGACAACTACCTAAGAGGATTTTCCTCACTTTGAAGAGATTAGCTCTCATTTCCTGTTGTATTTACAGGATGAGAGTAAAGGGAAAATCCCCCCAAAGGGACATAGATTGCCAAAAAAATGATTTAAAGTCTACGTTTGGCTAAAATCCAAAAAACAAAACTCAGCACAAGGTTCATAACTTATAGTTAATATGATGTGTTCCTTGTACTGATTCTCTGTCCTACTTCCCATAATTTTCCGGTGAGGAATGGAGAGCATTACTATTCTTGCCCTTTCCTGCCAGATGTAGTACAGCTTTAATGAATGACACAGGATCTGTGAATGGAGGACGGGCAGGGGTAGGGGATAGGAGAGAGGAAGATTTCTATGGAAAGAGGAAGAATGAGCACAAGGGACATATTATATTAACTGTAAGTAATGTCCCTTGTTCTGATTTTTGTGCTGTGAATTTTAGCTAATACTTAATGCATTCCTTATTCTATTTTTATTAGATATGCTTTAATCTGCATTTTCATCATAATACTTGCAAAAAACTCTGTCTAAAGTTGAGAACTGTTTTTTAATGTTCTGTACAGTCTCTTCTGGAGCTCATATTGATATTAAAATACAGAAAACTATTGTCAATAAATTCACATTTACTATTTAGCTGCATAGATTACTCCATCATTGTTAGCTCTGTATTTAATGATTTTTTTGCTGACACAGAAACATGTACCTCTGTGACCAAGTGTCCATTTTGTCATTGATCCAGGACATAGAGTACATTCGCTCACATTACAACATTGAAGACTTTATTTACTACAACCATCATCAACGGGATGAGCATGGACATCTTCACCATTATGCTTTAAATCCAATATTTAAACATTACGGCAAATATTTTCTGAAAGAAATTCTGCGGTTATCACACAAATCTTCTCTCTACTACCCTATCTACCCACCCTATGATAAAAGTCAGGTAATTATGTGTTTTTGTCAGCACATCATTTTTGAATAATATGACCCTTTCATTATAGGGTACACACTAACATAAAGGCAGTCTGTAAAACAAGATGTCATATACTTACAGTACTTTCCAGGGACCTGTGTATTAAAACTATGCCATTTAGCGAATACCCATCCACTGCAGGTATATGAAAATTCCAGGTGTGTCCAATACCTGGTGTGGGGTTAGCTCAGGTGGGGGGATCTCCTTCCCTGGGACAAAGGTAGACCGCACAGCAGGCTTTCGTCAAAATCTGACTGGTTGTCAGTTTTATTAAAAAGGTTTGCAAAAAATATCAAAATAAACAAAACATCAAAATAAACCCTTGCCATCCAGGCACTAACTAAACAGGAGATGATTCCTCTCTCAGAGGTGAAGGGCTTCTCCCTGTCACCAAAACAAAATAACAGCAAACCTTTCCTTGTAGGTATAGTCCATACACACAGCTCTCTCAGAATACCTCTCTGAGTCCCAGGCCATGAGCAACTCCTTGCTCCAGCCCTGCCCTTTTTATACCACCTGTTGGTGGTCATCAGTGGAGCCCAAACTCTGGTCCGGACCCACCTGCTTAACTGTGGCCCCGAAAACCCAGAGTGGACTCCACCTAAACTGTCAGGTATGAGCATATGCGAGGTGACACATAGCGTCCCTCTATCACCTCGCCGTTCATCCTGTCACATATCCCCCCCCCTCTGCTCAAGCCCCTGCGGCTGAGCAACTGTCCCAACCAGGCAATGGACCCGGGAAAGGGCATCTACATTACTTTGCAGTTTCCCCGCTCTGTGTTCCACCGTAAATTTGAACACTTGTAGCGCGAGAAACCACCTTGTCACTCGACTGTTTTTCTCCTTATTATCACACATCCATTTGAGCGGGGCATGATCAGTAACCAACTTGAACGGTCTTCCTAACAGGTAATATTTTAGTGCCTCCAAGGCCCATTTGATGGCCAAACATTCCTTCTCCACAATGGCATAGTTTCTCTCATGTTTGTTGAGCTTTCTACTTAGGAAGACCACAGGGTGCTCCTCCCCTTCTCTGATTTGGGACAGGACAGCACCTAGTCCCACATCAGAGGCATCAGTCTGTACCACAAACTCTGTTGTGAAATCTGGGGTCACAAGCACAGGTTGAGCACAGAGAGCTTGTTTCAGCCTTTGAAATGCGGTCTCCGCCTCAGGATTCCACTTAATCATGACCGACCCCCTACCTTTGTCAGATCTGTCAGTGGGCTGCAATGGTGGCAAAATTGGGGATAAACCGCCGGTAGTACCCCGTAATTCCAAGAAATGCCCGGACTTGCTTTTTATTTACAGGTTGGGGCCACTTTTGAATTGCCTCGATTTTATTTATCTGAGGCCTAATGAGACCTCGACCAATGATGTAGCCAAGATATTTGGCCTCCTCTAAGCCTATGGCACACTTTCTGGGGTTAGCGGTAAGACCTGCTTCCCGCAGCAAATCTACGACCGCTTGCAAGAGGGACAAATGAGATTCCCAGTCTGGACTGTGGATGACGATATCGTCCAAATAGGCAGCTGCATATTGGCGATGTGGTCTCAACGTCTTGTCCATCATCCTTTGGAATGATGCAGGAGCCCCATGCAAACCAAACGGCATCCGCTTATACTGAAAGGACCCCTCGGGGGTGGAGAATGTCGTCTTTTCTTTTGCAGCTTCCGTTAAAGGAATCTGCCAATAGCCTTTGGTCAGATCTAAGGTGGTTATATATCGAGCCGTTCCCAACCTGTCAATGAGCTCATCCACCCGAGGCATCGGGTATGCATCAAACTTAGACACACTGTTCAGTTTCCTGAAATCATTACAGAAACGAATTGTTCCATCTGGTTTTTGGACCAACACTATGGGACTTGACCACTCACTGTGAGATTCCTCAATCACTCCCAAACTCTAACATGTCCTTTATTTCCTTTGCCACCGCTTCCCGCCTGGCCTCGGGTATTCTATAGGGCTTGACATTTACGCGGACCCCGGGCTGGGTAACTATGTAATGTTGTATGACCGTCGTCAGTCCAGGTAGGTGGGAGAAGAAATCTCCATTTTTCCTCACAAACTCCTTAACATCATTTTGTTGGGCTACTGACAAGGTTTCCGTTATAGGTACCTGAGGGGCCACGGGAACCACGTCCTTTTGGGGGCTTGGTACTGCCAACAAACTTTCCCTGTCTTTCCAAGGTTTTAAGAGATTAACATGATAGATTTGTTCGGGTTTCCTTTTTCCTGGCTGGTGAACTTTATAATTTACTTCCCCCACTTTCTCCCTAATTTCAAAGGGACCTTGCCACTTTGCGAGGAATTTACTTTCCACGGTGGGGACTAGCACCAGTACTCTATCCCCAGGGTTGAAGGTACGGATCCTGGCACCCCGGTTATAAACCCTTCTCTGGACCTCCTGGGCTTGCTCCATGTGTTCCCGAACAAGTGGTATGACAGCTGCGATTCTATCCTGCATCTGTGAGATATGCTCGATGACACTTCTATAGGGCGTGGACTCTGTCTCCCAGGTTTCTTTTGCAACATCTAGCAATCCCCTGGGATGTCTACTATACAGTAATTCAAAAGGTGAATATCCTGTAGATGCCTGAGGTACTTCTCGTATAGCAAACATGAGATATGGTAGCAAAAAATCCCAATTTCTCCCATCTTTGTCCACCACCTTTTTTAACATATTCTTAAGGGTCTTGTTAAACCTTTCCACAAGCCCATCGGTTTGGGGGGGGGTAGACCGAGGTACGGAGATGGGAGATTTTGAACAATTTGCATAACTCTTTCATAACTCTAGACATAAATGGCATGCCCTGATCCGTTAATATCTCCTTTGGAATACCTACACGACTAAACACCCGGACAAGCTCTTTGGCGATATTTTTAGCGGAGGTATTACGCAAGGGGGATGGCTTCAGGATACCGGGTGGCATAGTCAAGTATAACCAGTATGTGCTGATGGCCCCGGGCAGACTTTACTACTGGACCCACTAGGTCCATGCCCACTCTTTCAAACGGTACTTCAATTATGGGTAGAGGTACTAGCGGACTGCGAAAATGGGGTGAGGGCGCAGAATATTGACATTCCGGGCATGACTCACAATGCACTTTGACGTCTCCATGTAAGCCTGGCCAAAAGAATCTCTGGGTTATTCTCTCCTTTGTTTTCTCTACACCCAGGTGTCCACCCATTATATGCCCATGGGCTAAATCCAGTACCATCCGTGAAAGGGTTTGGGGACCACTAACTGTTCTGCCACCTCCTCCCCTTGTTTTACCACTTGATATAGCAAGTTATTTTTGAGAGCCATGTAGGGAAAAGACACCGCTACATCATTTTCCACTGGTTCCCCATCAATCATTTTAATGTTTTCACGGGCTCTATTAAGTGTGGAATCTTTCAGTTGTTCCGTACAAAAATCCTCTTTTCTGACCTCTAGGTCAGGCACCACATTCTGTCCACTCTCACTAGAGCCAGCGATCATCTCTTGTTCTATATCCTCAATGTCTGGGGTTGGATCCAACTCCTCCTGCTCCCCAGCCATTACAGAGAAAGGGAAAAGATCTACGCCTTCCTCGGACACACACACAGTTTCCACTTCCACTCGGCAGTCAAAGGGGTCAGGAGTGAGTTCAGGAGTTTCCGGCGTTTCCCCAGCAGGGGGAGCTCGGTCTTCCTGACTCCCCTCCTTATCCCATAACTTCCAGAAATGGGGAAAATCTCTCCCCACTATGGCTTCATGAAGCAGAGAGGGCACCACCCCCACAGAATGGGTCACAGGGCCCCAGGGAGTACCAATCTCCACCAGAGCAGTCTGGTAATTACGTGTATCACCATGAATACAAATAACCCCAATCATGCTAGGGTGTAAGCTGGCAGGGTTTACCAAATCACTTTTAACTAAGGTCACCACACTACCCGAGTCTAGCAGAGCAGTTACTGGCTTTTCATCAATGGCAATCACACACGTTTGCTTTTCCATGCGTTTCTGACATGCTGCAGTACATACCACCTGTGCAAAAAGAGACATGCGTTTTCCTAAATAAGCATTTTCACATTGCATAGGTTCATCATTTAAAGGACAGTTTGCAGCAATATGACCCAACGCATGACACCGATAACATTTGATATGTTCAGTACCTAAACCTCTAAATGGCTTTGGGGACCTTCCTGACCTATTTGGCCTCTAGGTCCTGAGCCTACAGTCTCATTATCTGACACAATAGTCTTATTGTTTTTTTCTGAGTCCTCAGCGGCTGCATATCTCTCCACCAGGTCCACCAGCTCGTTTGCAGATTTAGGGTCTCCACGGCCGACCCCACTTCCTCAAAGTGGCAGGGAGCGCATGTAAATATTGGTCCATGACCACACGCTCCACAATCTGAGGGCCTGACAATACCTCTGGCTGGAGCCACGTTTTGGAGAGATATATCAAATCGAACATCTGAGATCTGGGTGGTTTGTCAGCCCTGTAATGCCACTGATGCACCCGCTGAGCCCGGACTGCAATGGTGACACCCAGGCGTGCAAGGACCTTAGCCTTCAGTTTCTCATAGTCCTGGGCATCCCCTGGTTCCAGGTCATAATAGGCTTTTTGGGATTCACCTGTCAAAAATGGTGCAAGCAGTCCGGCCCATTGCTCCTTTTTTCCATCCTTCCCGAACAGCAACCCTTTCAAAAGTTGTGAGGTAGGCCTCCACATCATCCGCAGGTGTCATCTTCTGCAAAACATAGCTGGCCCGCGCCATTTTATGCTCCACTGGCAGCGGATCTGCAGATTCCTTCTTTAATTCTAATAGGTGTTGGGCCACCTGCTTAAGGAGCTCTCGGTCTGCTTCTTGGGCCTCCGCAAACTGGCGATTTGTCTCCCGTTGTGCTGCATTGGCCTGCAGCAAGGCTCTTATTATTTCCTCCATCTTCCCACTTGCTCAGGAAGTGCCCG